AAGTTCTCCGATACGTCTCGTTCAAGAAGAGATCTTGTTCGAAGAAAAACTCGTGTGCAAATAATTCAAATTCGAATTTCAACAGATCCCATTCGGTTTCAGATCACTCCATGGAGGATTCTCACCGTGCTGAAGCCGTTAAAGACTGCATCAACTTCTTCAATTCTTCTTCTTCTTCTTCTTCTTCTTCTTCTTCTTCTGTTTGATCTCATCATCATCCCCTTCATTTTAATTAATGCTAAATTTGTTCTACTTCTTCTTACTTTTCTTTCTTCTTCTCCTTCTTTTTTTCCATTTTTATTTTTAATTTTAGGTTGTATTTTATGAAAATTTGGTTTTTTAGTCTTTTCGTATTAATTTTGTTAAATTACATGTATGATAATTTATTGGTACATCAAGTTTAGGTTGTTTAATTTCTTAATTTCTTCATTAAAAAAAAGGACATCCTTTTATTTTATGAAAATTTGTTTTTTCCCTAGGACCAAATATTATCTCTCTCTCCTAAATATGTTTGATAAGAAATGCAAGAGCGAAGAATTTGTTTTAAAACAATAATGAGGAGTCATTTTTTTTTGGGTGGGTATATGGAAGATTTGGTACTCACTATTCAAAAGTTAAGTATTTTTCGTCTTGAGGTATATGTCTTTAAAAAATTAAGTTTATGTTCGTATTGGTAAAAATTTTGTTAGATTATATGTATGGTAATTTATCATCAACTCTATTGATTTAGTTTATTGGACTTATTTATGCTGTCGATAGAATTGTGTTCTATACAGTGATCTTTGTATTTTAAAAAAATTTCAACGTTTGGATTTTGAATTTTGTGTCTAATAGGTATATTAATAATTTTACTAGTTTGTCAAACCGAGTATCAAGTGGTTAAGGCACCTATCTCTRACCAAGAGGTCATGAGTTCGATCTCCCACCCCCACATATTTTATAAAAAAAAAACTTTGCTAATAATAATATAGAATTAAGGATAGAGACTACTAAATAAAAAATTAAAAGTTATAGCTAATTTTTTCAAATATATAGACTAAATAAACACATATTTGAAAATTTTTATATCTGTTAAATATATTTTAAAGCACATGAACTAAAAATTTAGGAACTAAACTTATAATTTGACCTTCAAAATTTTTTTAAATTTTTAATTAGTTAATATTTTAAAAAGCTATTATTAAACCTAAAAAAATTAATTTAAAAAAAAAATTTGTCAAATTTGATGCTAATTGATTAATTTTTTAGGTTTATGATTGGGTTTTAATTATTGGATTTTCTTTTATGTCTATGAGAAGAAATTGAGGTGGAAAAGTTTGTGAAATTGGCATTTCACCAGTTGCCCATTCTTAAAAGTTACCCTGCATTATTACAATTATTATTATAATAATAATAAAATGTTGTACCTTAGTTCATAAATTGCTTTACATATTATGCAATAATAGAATTACATTAATAGAGGCTCTTTTTTTTAATTTATCTAGATAATATAAATAATTATAAGGGCTATAATACAATTTATTTTTTAAAGCATAAAGACTAAAATATTCATATGCAAAAAAAAAAAATACCAAAAGAGTTTATATTTCTATAGGATAATTTAATAATGGCATATACCTATAGAGTTGAATTTTGGGTTGGCTAAATGATAATATAATTTAAGTTGGCTAGGAAATAAATAAAGAATTATGTCAATTATAATATTTTCTTCGTGTTTAGAAAAAAAGGGTCAATTCAAGTAAATTATTATTACCTTAAACTTTGATCTAGTTCCTTCATATCCACAAACTTCAATAGTCAAACACTTTCAATGATTGAACTCGATCATGTCATATATTTACGATAATATTTSAATCGATCTTTATTTATTTATTTATTAAAAATTATAGTTTAGCAAAAGCCTTAGAAGCTAGTGGTTACTCTAGTTATAGCATGTGCCAATCTACTTAGTACGCACCTACATCGAATAAACACCATAGATTAAGATCTTACTTAGAATTTTGTTCTATTCGACACAACTTGGCTTTTTATCAATAAAAATACTCTTACTTACCTTTTTATATAAATGTTTTTTTTATTAGATTATGTTTAATAAATAAATAGATTCTACTAATATTTTTATTCTATAAGCTATATTAGAAAGTAATCTTTTTTTTTTGAGGTGGAAATCAAACCTTCAACTTTAAGAAACAATACCTCTTATCCGCTAAGATATGCTCAGATCCAACATTAAAGAGTATATCTCTCTTGATAAGGAAATGCAAGTCTTTTTTCTTTTTTTGGCCATTTAAATGGTCTGAAATTTTTTAGAAATTTAGATAGGGAGGGGAAGGGGAGAGCAATAATTGTGTAATATTAATAACACTGATTTTGACACGTCTAACCAATAAGAAATCATTGGTCCAAAGGGCATTAAATGAGCATTAACAATAATTAAGAAGGAAAATCCAAAAGAAATCCCATCTTCTTTTTGCAGCTACAAATGTAGTAATATTTTATTTTTTTATATTTGTGTTCGACCCCGTTTACGCGTAACTACGAATGTAATAATAAATTCTTTTTTTTATATTTGTGTGTACGAGCCAATTTGCGCGCAACTCGATTAATCACGAGCCAACTGCCTGATTTTACTACATTTGATTGACAATTTGTAGGATATTAAATCATTTACTATTTACATTGACTTTATAAAAATGCAATAATTAAAAGGGAAAATACAAAATAAATGTCTTAAATTATTATGGAAATTGGAGCTCCATTGAAGCTTGAGTTGAAGCTTTCTGAAGGGCCCACCCAAACCAAACCCCACTGATACTTCCCCTTCACCAATTACACTCATTTAATTTGAAGTGTTAAAATCAGAGCCATTCAAGTCTCCATCCCCTTATAAATGAGATCTCATCAAATTGCATATTCCTTAAATTTTAGGGTTTACATTCACATCCCATTTCTGATTTTGTGAGGCTTGGTAGCAATTTTGTTTTTATATCTATTCTGTTATGTTTTACTTTTTAACTACACTTGAACAAACTTCCCGAAGAAGGAATTTTTTTTTTTTCAAATAAACGCTTTGGATGTAGAGACCAAAATGGACAAATGTTGAAAGTACAAAGATCAAAATAGACGTTTAGAAAGCACAAAGACCAAAATGAACCAAAGTCGAAAGTACAGGGACCAAAATAGTATTTAAACCTTAATATTGTTAGACAACGAAGCAACGAAAACCTTTGCTAAATTTCTTCATTCAAAAAATTGCCACTCTTGCTTTTTGTATTCAAAGATATGTTCAAAAGAGGGGCATCATTACTTCTTCAAAAGCACTTCTAAACAAACAAAACCTTCAAAAGTAGAATATTTCCATTGTCACTGTCTGAAAAAGGGACCCTCCATGCAGAGGATTTCTTTGTATGTTGAGAAATAGTATTTAGAGGATTGAGTCAAGAAAAGTCCTACAGTATATTTCATTGGGAAGTTAAGAAAAATGAAAAACATGAATTACAAAAAGAAGACAGACAACTAAATATCATGTAAATTTTGAAAAAGTATATCTAGAATATTGAAAATTCATCTAAAACTTATCAGACAAACACTAAGAACAAAGTATTTAGAATACCAAAATGTCTATACGACTATAAACGAAAGATTGTGTAACAATCTTGTTGATAAGATATGGTCCAATGACTGAGAAAGATCAGCAGTTAACAGTTCAAGTTTTGAACTTGTATAGTATACAGAGAGATTCAAGTAAAGCATATAACCAGATATGAAATGAGAAATATTTAGAGCACACCTGGTTCTAGCTTTTGCTTTGTATAACTGTAGGAGAAATGTAATTCTTGAGAAACAGAAGCCCTGACCGCAGTTATAACCGGTATCTTCAACAGACTCGAGAGCTCTTTCAAAACTTAAAAATCCCAGGGACGAGCATTCAAATCTAGTTTCCAGATGCAGCTGCAACAACAGTGGCTGGTTTTGCATCCTCTGCTTTCTCATGCTCTTTGTTTAACATCTGAATATGTGTTTATAGATAAGAGATCAAAATCATCACATTGAGTGAGTGAATTAATTACTAATACAAGTAACAAATTAAGGAGGATATTACCTTGTTATTAATCAAATTATGGAGTGCAATCACGCTTCGGATCAAAGAAGAGAGATATATGACCAACATCATATCGTTGGTTTTTACTGCATAAAGAGGGTGATATAGATCAACTGCCTAAATTCAATTATCCCTAAGTAAGCAGATTTGGAAGTTTTGGCTTATTTTACCTGAAAATGATTTGACCAAATCAGTCACATTCAGATTAGGAAGCAGGTTGAATACATCCTGTGGTTAATGATACGATAAATATTACTGTATTAAGAATTAATGCATAATAAGTGGCCTGTAGCACTTAACAAATTCAGCATCACTTTTTGCAGGCAGACAATCAAAGGGGAACCAGATTTGGATAAAAAGAAACATGCATATAACCAAAGCATAAGAAAAAGGGAAGTTTGATATCAATCTGCTCATTCAGCTTAGTAAGTAGCAGATTTTGTTGAAGAGATTGGAAACTGGAAGAGAATCTCGAAAAATATGATTGCTTATGAGATCATATTGCAGTCCTTTCCCCCTTTTGGATGAAAGTTTAAGGCCTATTTAGGATAAGTATATGGATCTTTTTCACACAGATGTCATGACATACAGTACTTTTAGGTGGAACTGGGACTTTTCGTTAAACTTTTTGCTAAATCTAGGTGGAGGATATCTTTGTCTTCTAAACTCTCTTCATAACTTACAACATATAAAAATATTTTTCGTAGTGTTTTTGGTATAATGATATTAGAGTAAAAACTAAATATGGTGTATGCATAAAGAAACAATTAGATGACATGCACATGCAGAGAGAATGTATCAAAAAGTGAACCTGTAAATGGTATAGAATCTCATGATTTAGTGGAAGTTTTTCATCGACAACAAGGTCGAGGTAACTCCGAATCTCTCGCAAACGTGCATCTAAACCTTTTAGGGCTGTAAGCTTTCCAGAAACCTGCAAAATGAAACTCCATTGAACTCCAATTTCTCCATGAATTTTTATGAGCCATAAGGACATTTGCTATAACTTAAAAAAAACTTCGAGGTAAATGTGAATATTGTAAAAATGAATAAATACAGAAGTCATCTAACACCCAGCAACATCACAGACCTCAGTAGCAAGCGTGCTGATGGTGGTGTCCTTGACATCTCTTAGCAAGTGTTCAACTCCTGTAGATGAGCAGGATGAGAAAATTCAATTCTTACAAGAGATACACCATAAATAGAAATGCAGCTCCGCATCCCATTAGAATTACCAATTTCCTCAACCTCATGTGCTGCAATTTCTGAAGGCACATGCACAAAAATCTTCTGGCTCTTCTGTGTTTCATTCTGTTGAAAATGAGGAGTTGGTATCATTTTAAAAGAGTACAAGTGTTCCCTTACTGCATCTTGTTGTAGACTTCTTACTATTATGATCCATTGACAAATCAGTTTACTCCAATTTTCATGCTATAATAATAACAGGGTACACAACTAAACATGACAGGGTGACATGCCAATACCTCCTTAACTTCTTCAACATCATAATAGGCCTTGGTAGGTATACCAAGCTCCTTGGGTTGGACATCGATGATCACAAGAACCGGATTTGGTACATAACTGTAGTTCAAAAGAAAAACAAATCCAGATGTCAATTATGCATGTCCTTTGTCAATGCAAAATTGTTCCATTAGAACTTGTTTTAAGAGAGAAAAGGTCCAAAGTTAGATCACAAGAAATACATAAGAGTTCATATTGAGTATGGCTACCCATGTAAAGATATAACTAGCACATCACTTTATCAAAATATTCAAACCAAATGCAGATAGGCGATCTTACTTGTGGAACAATTGGTGAATCTCTAAATCATTTTCACGTAATTTTGGGCCAGTACTATACCAGCCTATGATGTGCTCCTTAGCTGAAACAGTTAACAGATAATAATTATAAATTCAAATTAAAAACAGGTAAATAAAAGTATAAACAGATATTAGTAAGAAAACACTAACCATTTATTCTCTTGAACATTGAAAACATAGATTCATGATAATTGTGGTCAAGAAACCATATGCTGGGGTCTTTATCATCCTCCTCAAAGGGCACTAAATTGATGAGAATATATGTTACTTAAAAATAGTATTGGAAAAACACTTCCCATATTAAAAATGTACTACAATTCTGACAAACCTCCGACCTATAGGATGCAAACTTTATGACATCAGAAAACGCTCTCAACAAAATTCTAGAAAATCTTCTTAAAAAAGATAAATGTTTAATCTCATTCATACCAACACACAAACGCCCTCAATCAACAACTGAACCCGACAACTAAACTGTGGTGGCTGGAAGACCTGGATCAGTTCTCATCTCAATCACAATTACATAGAAAAACGACTAACTATTCATTAGATATTGCAATCAGAGCACTTGCATCCAACAGGTGTGCCCAATTGAACAATCTAAACCCTCAACGCAAATCCACTTTTGATGAATTCAAAGAAATCAAGAAATTTGCTTCTTCAACTTCAAATTTAATAGTTTATTTAGCTAGCGAAACAAGGGCCAGAAATTCATTTCATACTAAAAGAACGGCTCAAATTCAGTCGCGCAAGTCCTAACAAGCAATAACAAGCCAAATTTGCTTACAGTGCAACCACAATTTCACATAAAAGCCCAAACAACCAGTAGAACCAATTTAAAGCAGTTACTAATCTCCATAATGCGTCATATAAGACACAGGGAACCCGGATATTGAACCCAACCTAATTAAAAAGCCCTAGTTTCCCGTAACCAGCAAAACATTCTAACATTTCCAACAGAAAGAACCAAAACAGAACATCTCAAATCCAAACTAAGAAAATAAAAAACTAAGAACCAAATCAAGTTGCTAAGAAATTGAAATACAGAACCTGCATAGCTATTGGTCACATCAACGGTGCCTCTGAAAGAGCTACCGAGAAGAACTCCAACAACTCGCTTACTGGTATCCTTGGCAACTCGGTTGTAGTTGTCGACGATACTGAGCAACACCAGAGGATGAACAACTACTTTCTCAATGGGACGGGATGATATTTGCTGCGACTTGATCACATCCATGGCGATATCTCCGGCGCCGTCCGGTGATTTTTGCTTCGAACTCTTCTGGAAACTGGTCGCCGATGTTCGTTTGTGAGCTTTCTTCCCCTACTGGTAAAGGSCCCCCTCCACTCTCCGCTTTCATAAGCTTTTTTTCTGGTTGGTCCTTTCTCGTTTGGTTTCTTGATGGAGAATTCATGTAAAATGAACCGTTTTAGTTTTCTACATTTCAAAATTAAGTATTTTTTTCTTTTAATACAATAACGCCACGTGGGTCGAGATGTGAACATGTGCCTTAGTTCTAGTTCAGAGCTATGTTCAGACTTTTTAATAACTGTGTCTACTTAGTCTTTAAAAAGGAAAAAATGAAAACGAAAACATTTTATGTTCATGCTACTACAACTTGAAATCAATTCATAATCCTCCAGCAACGGTATGAAAACACGACCTACTGGAGACTACCTTGCCACATATCATCATGTAACATTAAATACTTGACCTTAGACGTAAATATTCAACATTTAAAATTTATTACAAATTTTTTAGAGTTTTTTCCTCATTTATTGGTTTTTTCTTTCGTTTCTTCTTTTTTAATAAAGAAAAAAATAACTTGGTTCAGTAACTATTTTTTGTTTTTTCCTATTTAAGAAATAAATAAAAATATGTTCTGTAATTATTTCTAATTTTTAATTCTCTACCCTTTTAAATTTTCAAAAGTACAATTTTTATATCTAAATTAATTTTATTAATTTAAATATTCAAATTTTTTACGTTTTATTTATTTTTTAAAATGTTTATTATGAATTTTATAAATCGAGAATAATAAATAAATGATTTTATTTATGTTTTGGAAAAAAAATTTAAAAACTACAAGACACTTGTTTCTAAAATGAACAGTGAAAAATAAGAAACTTGAATAGTTGTCAAATACTTATATTTCTCAAAAATTAGAAAGTTTCTAATGTACATAATAATATAAATTGAATAAAGAAACGATGATGTGATATTTAAGAAAATATTGTTTTATATAAATGGATATTTTTCTACATGTTAATTGTTTTTTTTTTTTTTACTTCATTGCGGATGAAATTGTAACTTTTAGAACATGAGGGCAAAATTATAATATAATGTATATTTTTAAGACAAAATAATATATTTAGCTTTCTTTTTTAGTTCAGAGTTGCATCAGATTGAGAAAATATTGGAGGATTAAATTTACCCTAAGTTAAATAGTTCAATTTTTTAAATCTAGTGATAATTCAAGACATCTCAAAGTTATAAATTTATACTTAATATCTGTCTTCTTCTATTTATATTAATAGTCCACGTATTAAATTTTATGAAGTATTTCGAATTTACAAGTGAGAGGGATGGCATTGTCCATTGAGAATTGAGAATATTAAATTATCGGCATCCCAAAAAGAAAGAAGAATTTATTTCGAAAATAAAGATTTAATATTCCTTATTCTCTTTTCTTTTCTTCTTTATTTTCTTTTTTTCTTTTGCCTTCCATTGTTGAGTCCATTCTCAAAGACGGTCAAAAATCTTGTATTTATTTGAGGTTGCTCGTAAAAGGATAATGGCAACATTTTTTTTTTGCAATAATTATAAATTTACATAATATATCATCAACTCATATAATATTGATTTTTTTTTTAGTACAACGAGTTGAGGTAGGATTCAAATTTACGACCTTTTGATTAGAAATGTGTCATTACGTCCCGAGTAATATTGATTGAGATAACCGCGTGTTTTACCTTTTATCATATTTACAATTACTTCTTCAATTTTATTTTTCATATATATTAGATCTTTATTATGTCACATTTATCATTTATGTAATCAACTTGAGAAAATGAACAATTTTAAAAAAAAATTAGTAAAAATAGTACTAAATAATGTATATATAGTAAAAAAAATTGACAAAAAATGTACCAATAAATAAATAAATGCTTCTATTTCTTTGTTAATTTTTACCAAAAAAATTTACAAATTAGAAACTTACAAAAGCAACGAAATGTACACAATTTACAGAAGTACCAAATATGCATTAAGAGTTAACAAAAGATACTAAAAKCTACCATTCAGTTTGGTGATTRGTATTTTCCCACACACAATTGAAAACTAATTAATTATTGAGCATTAATGATATATAAAAAAATAATTTTTATTTTATAGTTAAAAATAATATTTTAAATCAAGTTCCATTTTTTTTTCAAAATATACAGTAACAAAAGTTTTATCAAGAACATTAGATATTGTGTCGAGTTCGATTGTTTAGTGTACTCGGAGAAAAAAAAAAGTTCGATTTGTTTAGTGTCATGAGTAGGTATTATCGAGTTGCAACTCACTAAGTTTTGAGTCAGTGTTTGAATTATAAATTACATTGAGTCACAAGTTATTTTGAATCATGAGACATGTTTGGATACATGTCTAACCAATTCAACAGCTTATAATGTCAAACACAATTTCGTTTTGTCTTTTTTTTTCAAGAATATGAACCTTAGACGAATTGRGTTATGTTAGGATCAGCATTGTCAAATTCAATTTTAACATATTGTTTGACCCAGCACTTGTTGACCCACATGCTCGATCAATGTCGGGTCGGGTCGGATCAGACTCCCTATTTTGCATCCTGAATTAACAAGTTGCTCCAACCTATATAAGACAAAGTTCAGGCGTCAGTATCCTAAAATACCATAAAAAGAAAAAAACAGATTCTGTTCTCTATTTTTAACTGGCTATGTAACTTATGTTTCTAAAAGCAAGTATATATGCATATAAATTTATGTACTCAACTTTATTTACCATAATGTTACAAACACAGCCATATTTCAGATCTAAAGAGTCTCTAACGCAAAGGAAATCGTGGGTGTGGGGATACAAACATTTTGGAACTTCTAACTAAAAGGCAAATAAATATGAGTAATGGGAAAAATACCTGATTTTAACATGGAAAGGCAAAGCGCATGCAAAAAAATAACTAAAAAGAAAGAGCTCCAATCTAACAAGACCAAAACCTAAGAAATAATTACAAAAACTTTTGCACATCGATGCCCAAAAGGCAAGGGTTCAAGCGTACTCTCTAGATCTCTCCACCCCTCTAAGAATCCTATTGTTTCTCTCGTGGCACAAACTCCATAGAATAGCAAAGAAATCCACCTACCACAAAAACCGACCCTATCTCCAAACAGAGGGTGATGTGGGAAAATTACCTGTCACTACCCGTCTAGTCGGTCTGTCAATCTTTACATGGCATGACTCGAGTGGGACACGGAGACAATCCTGAGAAGGAAAAGAGTCAAGCCAAACAATCAGCAAACAAGTAGTCATCCCTTCCAATTCCTCTAATGGTTCCACTTCCATCAGGAAAAACGGCAAAATGAAGGAGAAATATTGTGCAAAAGAGAAACCATTACAAGGTATAGAGGTACCATAAACCATATTATCGGGGTATTGATTGACTGTGATAAATATACACCATAAATTATCTGTCTTTATTTTAAATACAAAAATATCTTCTTCAAGCAAACAGAAAGCTTCAGATTTTCTCATATTGTTCACTGCTAAAGCCTTTTCTGAGAGGCGCCAATGATATAGATATAGAGAGGGCGACGGATACAGGACGTTGAGATTGACTTGCAGCAGAATGACAAGCAGCACCAGTGGAGACTTCTGATCTGTAGCTAGGTATGCAAAGCCATGAACAAGTTCTGCTTACGAGCATGCTCTGGAATGAGTCGATTAACGGTATCAGGTGGTATGCCATTGAGCTCTGCCAAATAAAACAAACCGAAGGGCACATGGTGTGAGAAGCATGCATAAATTTAGTTGAAGAGTAAATTGAACAAAAACCACGTCTTATAATAGAAATAGACCCATCAGTTGTCAGGGATCCATAATGGACTAGTCTCAGAAATTTCCTACGCATAAAAACTTGATAAAAACACATTGCATGCTGCAAAGTAGATCTCAAGATATAAATTCACTTTTTTTTTAGATAAGAAACATCTCTGTATTGATCTCAAGATATAAATTCACTGTCGAAACAGTTTCATCCAATTATAATAGCTCCATCTGCCTACATCATCTGCCTTCATAAAGAACACTTTCACGGACTATGCAATTCCGAGTAACCACAGAACTTCATGTACTTGCAACCACAACACACTAAAAGGATGAAAACTACAAGCTTTTAAACCTGAGAATCATTTATTTTAATTTGGGTTGTAAATTCCAATTACCAAATTGGAAAGATAAATCTTTTTTGTTTTGCCGATAAGAACATGTATAAACAATCAATTTTATACAATTCACAAAAATAGCCCAAAAAGTTAAAAGCCTACCGCACCCGCATTCTGAGCATCTTAGAAAATAGTCTTAGAATATAGGCATTAAACAGTAAAGACTATTAAACATTAATATAATAGTTCCTTCCAACTTTCATCATGTTTCTAACCTCATCTCCTATTTACTTTCCAGTTGATAAAGGACAAAAAGGAAAGAGAAGAACAGGAACCAACAAATCTGATTGTCACAAGCACGATTAAACTTTTAGTTGCTCTGTTTATGCTTCATTTGGTATCTTATCGGTGTCAACCTGATGCAGTTATTTCAATTTAGGTATCGTGCTGATACAGTTCATATATTGGCTAGATGCAAGATCCTAAGCTTCTAAATTGAAACCATGTCAATATACCAAGTCAATTATTGTACATGTAAAACATCTCTGCAGCACTGAGACCTCATAGCACAAGCAAATAAGCAAAATAATGTACAGGTAAGACTGCATGCTCACCCTGAGGTTTAAAATTAAATAATGGAGGAAGTGGGCGACCATTAGGAAGGCGTGTATTTGGGTCCCTTAACTCATCAAAGAAGGGGTGGACACAAGCTTCCAACTGAAATAAACCATGTAATATTACAAGAAATGAATAATACCCAACTCCCAAAAAACTTTTTTAAATAGTACAAGCTGAACTTACAGCAGTACATCGCAAATTAGGTGAATACTGGAAAAACCTGCATACAAGGTCCACAGCTTCAGGAGGTAGACGTTTCTGGAAAACCTGCGCATGATTATGGTATCCAAATCAATCTCCATACCAAGTCAATTGCTTTTTCCTTTTTTCTGTGTTGGGTAAGGGTATTTTACAACAACAAAGTAGGACTACAAGGACGTAACTGCAGGTTTCTCAAAATATTAGAACACCAATATCAGATGAACAAACAGTTCGAGACAAAGTAAAAGCATGCAGCACCAAAACA